CAGGTTCAGCCTGAGCAGCCCTGAGCAGCCCCTGCACGTAGAGAGCTATCTAAAGCTTACGGGCTGTCCCAGGGGTGTCACAGGTCTCTGTGGCTGAACTGGGCTTCCTTGTCGTGGCCCAGAAGCACTGACCAGCCTTACCAGCTTTGCTGTAGCATGCTTTGGGCCCCTCACATGGCTTTTCAGGCACAGCTCTGTACTTGGGTCAGTGTGATGTTGGAGTCTATGTGCATGGCTGTGTCCCCGAGACAGTGTGGGCAGAGCTGTTTGCACACACCCTGATCCTGCAGCTGGATGTGTGGTGCCCTGTCCTCACTGGGCACAGCCGTGTGCAGTGTGGCTGTGCCAGGGGAATGATCCAGCCTGGCTGGGCAGGGAGCGGGAGCAGCGTGTGAGCTCTGTTCCATCGATGGCTTCTCCTGATGCCGTCCTGAGGACATCAATAGCTGCTGCCCACGGGGAAGCTGGCTATGCTGGAGCGGGTCTGGAGGGAGTGTCTGCACAGATATCCACCATTTGTGGTCTCTGCCTGCTCCCAGTGCTCTGCCCAGGATCAGATCGTGTCCTGGCAATCCTGTGAAGGTGCAGTGCTGCCTCTGCCTACAAACAATGGCAAGGTCAAAGGACAGAGTGCTATTTTCCTTCACTTCCCTGTAGTCCCCAGCTCCTGAAGCAAGGAGACTGTAGTGGAACAGACCTGGAGGGTGGTTGTTCAGGTTTGGGCTGATTCAATGCTTTGGCTCTTCCTGCTGGAGTTCTTGCTTAAGTGCGTGGCTCTGACACTTATCATAGGTCTGCCTTGCTGTGCTGCCTTCCTTGTCCTGTGTGTCCCCTACCACGGGGACAAGAAGCATTGGCCGTGGTGCTACTGAGAGTCATGGCAGAGGGATCTTGCCCCAGAATGCTCTGTGTCCTGGAGGATCCTTGAGCCTGGTGTAGTTCCTCCTGCACGCCTGGATTTGGGGTGAAGAGGTGAGAGCCTTGAGGGGCCTGAAGGGACCTGGGCACAGGGCTGAAATCTGGCAAAGCTGAATCCGACTGCTCATCGCAACAATGAGCTACTGAATTGTTAAATCGTCAATCTGAGGTTTTCTTTGAAAGGGGTGATGCTACAAATTAATTAGCTCCCTTTTGGTTGTTAGCACTTTAAAGCCCAGCTGTCAGGGGAGGGCTGGTTTATAGGCATTACATCAGGGCTGCCGGCTGGCTCGCTTGCCTACCTGGGAATTTCTAAGTGTGCCTTGTAACCGGGGGAAATTTGGCTCGGATGCAGCATCTGGCGCCCAGTGAAGCTGCTGGATGTGCTGTCCGGAGCACGGGGGTTTGACTGGTGCCTCAGCGGTGCTGCTGGAGCACACGGGGGGCCGGTGGCTTCGGCCTCTCGGTGCGCAGCTCCCGGGGAGCCGGTGGCTCTCCTCTCCAGCTCAGCGTTAGCCACCGGCCGGTGACTCGCTCAGGCCAGCTGCAGCTGTGCAGGAGATGGTCCGAGTAGTTCCTGCTTCTTGCTTAATTAATGGGAGAGAACAGGAGGCTTTTCTGAAGCAAAAGGGGCTTTTCTGGCGTGTTAAAAGTTCGAACTGGCTACAGATGCCCTAGGAGCGCTGGCGGTGCGGGCAAAGGGTTTGATGTCCTAAGCAGGAGGGGAGGAACTCCTCCGTGCTCCCGTGCGAGTGCGGAAGGTGGTTGGAGCTGAGCCGCTGCTTCCCCACCCCCGGGTTTTCTGCCCACCAGCACAGAAGCACCGCGACTTCCGGGCCCACGGGACCGCCGCGGCCCAGCGGGCCCACGGAGCTGCCAGCCCGGTGAGCAGGGCCCGGGAGAGCTGCGGGGGCACAGCCGCAGGTACGGTGCCACCCGCCTTAAGGCCTGTCGCAGCGGGGCGAGGCGGCCGGTAGCGTCAGCAGGCCGCTGGAGAAGGGCGGTGCGTGCCCGGTGCGTGCCCGGTGCCGCCGTTCTGGGCCCACTCGGCGGTTCCGGAGCGGGGTCGCTGCCCCGCGTGGCGGCCCCGCGCTCCAAGATGGCTGCGGACCGTGACACGCCTGGTCACGTGGGACGCGCGCGCGCCGCGCCGCCCCCCCGGTGCCCCCGGCCGCCCCCTCCGCCCCCCCCCGCACCGGCCGCGCGCGCCCCCGGTGCCCCCGCGCGCCGGGACTCGGCCCGGTGCGTCCCGCTGCTTCTTAAAGGGACAGGCGCCCCCTGCGCACCCCGGCCCGCCGCGCCGCGGAAAACAAAGAGGCACCGGAAACAGCGGTGGCGGGGAGGGGGCCGGCCCGGCGGGAGGCGGGAGGGAGGGAGGGGAGGGCCGGCGGCGGGCCGGCGGGGGGGGGCAGGCCCGGGCCCGGCGTCGGCGAACAAAGAGCGGCGGGAGGGAGGGGGCGGGGGCGCCGCAGCGGCACCGGAGCGGCGGCCCGGGCTATCGGTGCAGGTACGTGCGGGCCGGGGGGGGGGCGGGAGCGGGGCGGGGGCGGGGGCCGCCCCCCGGACCCCCGACGGCACCTGCCCCGGGCGGCGGCGGCGGGGTCCGGCGGCCGCCTTTGTTATTGCTTTTGTTTGGCGCCGAGCACATGGCCCCGGAGCGGCCGCTCTTAAAGCCACAGATCCGTACCGGCACCGGCAGGGCTCCGCGGCGGGGGGCGCGGGCTGGGCTGCGCTCCCGGCTGCCGGTGGCCGCGGTGCCTCCCCGGGGTGCTGCACCGTGGGGCGCTCCGTCGGTGCGCTCCGGGTTGTGCCGCTCGCCCCGCCGTGCGCCGCCGTCCCGGACACCGAGGGTCGGGTCTGGGTCGGGTCTGGGGGTGGGGTTGGGCGTCGGGGTCGTCCTTCCGAAGGGGCTGCCGGTGCGGCGGAGCCAGCGGTGACCTCGCTCCCGGGGGAGCTGGCGGCGTCCGCCTGGGAACGGCGGGGAAGGGGCTGCGGGAGAGCTCGGGGTGCCGGGACAGAGCCGGGGGTGGGTGCAGCGGGGTGGCAGGACCCCCAGGGCGGGCGGCTCCGCCGGTAGTCCCGGAGCCCGGCTCTGCCCGAGCAGATGGCACCGGGCGTGAGCGCTGGCGCGCTGCTAACTTTGTTCTCGGCGGGGCTCGGGAGCCGCCTCCCCCCGCCCCTCCGAGAGGCTGCGGGACCGCGATCCCTCCGTGTCGGAGCAGCGGTGGCCTCCGCGGGGTCACGGTCACCCTGCTCGGAGCGGCCGCTGGCTCCCAGCCGCGGGTGCGGAGGGAGCCGGGTGTGCCCGCTTGGGACAGGAGGGTGGGTACCTCACGGCTGCTGCCTGTGGCAGGACGGGGCCGGGCCAGCGCTGTCCCGCAAGTCGAGAGTGCCGTCCTGCCTTGGGATGCTGTCCTGGGTTCCCGGAGCGCAGGCAGCTCTCCGCTCTGGAGGTCCCAGGAACAGGCGAGCCCCTGTATGGCTTCAGTTTTCCTCTGCGGACACGCTGCCCATCCCCGAGCCCATTGCTGTGGTGCTTGGTCTGGAAGGTGCCCGCTGGATCACACAGGGCCTTGGCAGCACGTGTGCTCCGAGAGTGAGGATGTGGAACTGGACGCAGTAACACATCAGAGAGGTTTCTTCAGAGTGGGGCTAAACCTGGGTTGTTGCTGCATTCTGGCTCCCAGCCCACTCAGGGGCATATTGCAGCCGGGCAGAGCTTCAAGTGGCAGAATAAACTCCCTCTGGAAGGAACCTCCTGGTCAGGCACACCCCCTTCCCTGGTGACAGTCACAGACAGGTTCTGGGAGGGCTCAGCCTGTGGCTTTTGCTTTTCTTCTTCCTTTTTTTCTACCAAAACAAAGAGAAATTTGCTTTCAGCTTCTATGGTAGTGTGGAGATGAAGGTGAGGTTAAGAAGAGATTTGTGTGTGGCACAGGACTTGTCCCAGTGGTTGTTGATAGCCATCACCCAAAAGTGACATTGCAGCTTCTCTCTGCTGGGCTGAGATCCCCCTGCTGAGCAGCATTCCCTTGGCTCCAGGTCCACGGGGTATCTTTCCTGTCCCCGGTGTGTCTTTGCCATGGGCACTGAGGAGGAGGTGGAGCTGAAGAAGCTGCTCTGGGGGTCCTCAGCAGCCTGCAGTGAGCTGGATTTAGGGGTGTGTGGGCTGCGGTGCCAAGGCCCTGGCTGCTGCTGTGTGCTGGCCTGATGCTGTGGAGGCTGAAGGAAGCTGGGCAATGGAGGGGTACAAAGGGAGGATCTTGGATACACATGGAGGCAAGGAAGGCTGTTTTGGGGCCTGGGGAAGCCCGGCCCTAAATGTAGATGTCTCCTCTGTGCAGTGTCAGGGTTCATTGGGACTGAGGGGTTGAGCTGTGTCCTGGGAGCTCTGGTGCAGGAACACCAGTCAGGCTGGGTGTAGGAGGGGAGATGGAACAGGGCCAGGGCAGTGTTCCCACTGTCCCACTGCCTTGGGGAGCAGAGCTGCCTCCCTGGTTTCAGCACAGCCCATGCTTGTCCCCTACTCAGTGGGGATGTGTGGCTGTGCCCTGTTTGCAGCAGGGAGTTGACAGAGAAGGGCCATGAACCCTCCTGCCACCACCAGCCCCTGTGCCGGTCACTGGGGTAGCAGTGTCACTCCAGAGTAGGATGTGCAGGAGCTCAGTAACAAAGAGCACCCCCCAGAGCAGCATCAAGGACCTGCTGGAAATTCCCCATGCCATGCTCAGGCTCCCTGTTGGCCGGTGAGCAGGCTGGGATGCTGCCATAGCCACAGGGCTCTTCATCACTTTCTTTCCTCTGTGCCAAAAATAAGTGCAAAAATAAGTCTTTCTCTCTCTTTGTGTTGTGCATGGGAGGTGACTCTGGCCGTGAAGGGGAGGAACAGTAACAAGGGAGTTGGGGACAGGCTCTTCCTAGCCCGTCTCAGGGCCATATCCAGCCCCAAGAGATGGGGTGGGTGCAGCTCAAGGTGGAGGAGCAGCAAGAGCTCCAGCTGTCAGCATCACCATCCTTGTGAGGATGGAGCAGCAGCCTGAGTGGTGGCGGGACAGTGCCATGACCCGCTGTCCCTCTTGCAGAATTCAAGGTGCTGGTGTCTTACCCTGCCTGGAGCCTGAGGTCCCGTGTGCCCATCCGCTTCCCGACGTCACCAATGCGACCATGGGAACTGGCAGTGAATAGGCGGCCGCCCTCTGCCCCTTTTGCCCAGCGCCGTTTCTCGGGGGGACCCTGCAGCAGCCCCGACCACCTCCGGCGAAGGTACGGGCTGCAGGGTGGTGTGGAGCCCTGCCCCTGTGGCACACGGGGCTGTGGGGCCGGTTCTCTGGTCCTGCTGGGGCAAGGCACTGGCTCCCAGTGGGGCTTGGGGGGACATAGACTGGGAAGCACATCCCCCTGGCCCAAATGAGGAGTCCCTGGGGAGCAGGGGTCCTTTTTATGCTGCGGACACCGAGAGGGCACTTGCAGGGTGAGCAGAGAAGCTGGTTCTGGAGCTGCCCAGCCTGACGTGGCCTGGCACAATGCCCTAAGCATCTCACTCTGGGCTGGCACTGGTCCTCCTGTAGCCGTCCTGCCTGGGGCTGTGGTGCCCCTCTGGCCTGGGGGGTCACTCCTGCTCTGTTTCTTTCCTGCGGTGGCCCCACAGCCCCTCTGCCAGGCGTCAGTGGGGACGACGCGATCGACCTCTGGCAACCCTGCTGGGCCAGGATGAGCCCCAGGTGCACCCTGCCTTCCCCCAGCAGCCGCACATCCCTGTAGATGAGCCCCGCGCCTACGCTCTTGCCAGCACGCCGCCACGAATGCTTCACCCAGCCGCTCACCCACCCCACCAGAACCCATTCATGGTGGATCTGCATGACCAGGTAGGTGCTGCAGCCCCCAGCCCCACTCCTAAGTGTGATCCTGTGGTGTTCCTTGGACTGTTGTCTGGAGTGGTGACATGTCCTTGGGTCCCCTCTGGCCACTTGCTGCTGGGATCACCCAGCCCTAAACCTGCTGGTGCTCTGGCTCTCTGAGATTTTAATCTTGGGGTCCCTCTGCCTTTTGGGTATGTCCAGGGTGGTCCCTGCTCCCAGGGGCTAGGGACAGTCGCCTTGTAGGGTTGTTCATGTGACAACTGTCACCATAGTCCGTGGTAATGGTGATGTGTTGGAGACTGTGTCAGCCTGTCCCTCAGGCTGAGCCCTCACTCAGCCCGTCCCTATGGCCACACCAGCGGGATGGGCATGCCAGGTGTTTTGTCCCAGTGCTGAGTGTCAGGACAGGGACAGCTCAGACAGGGCTGCACCCTGACTGTGCCTTCGGCACCTTGTCCTTAGGTGCACCAGGGACCTGTCCCTCTCTCCTACACGGTTACCACCGTAACGACGCAAGGCTTCCCCATCCACGCTGGCCAGCACATCCCTGGGTGCAGCACCCAGCAGCTCCCAGCATGCTCAGTGATGTTCAGCGGACAGCACTACCCGCTCTGCTGCCTCCCACCCCCGGTGAGTCACAGCAGGGGACGCCTGGGGACAGCCTGCAGCCTGGGCCGTGAGTGCCCAGAGGTGCTGTGGGCACCCAAGCCCACTGCAGCTCAAGTTTCTGAGAGCACAGGGTCCTTTGGAGGCCCTGGGGAGGGGGCAGGGGTGTCTGACCCTTGTTTTTCTCTCCATCTCTCCCCACAGCTGATTCAGGCATGTGCCATGCAACAACTTCCCGTCTCCTACCAGACATTCCCCCCCATCATCTCCAGCGACCATTACATCCTGCACCCACCCCCGCCGCCAGTGCCCCCCCACCAGCCGCCCCACATGGCCCCCCTGGGGCAGTTTGTACCTCTCCAAGCCCAGCATCCACGTATGGTGAGTTGGGGTGGAGGGACAGACTGGGGACATGATGCACCCACCACCTTGGGGTCTTGTCCTTCTGCAACCCTGTGGGTCTAAGCTGGGGGTGGTGGGCAGGGTGCCCAGAGTGGCTCTGTCTTCATAGTGTCAGGGAGGTGTAATTTGGGATGCTCCTCTCAGCCTAATTCTTTCCCCACAGCCTCTGCAGAGGATAGACAATGACGTGGACCTGCGAGGGGAGCAGCACCCCATCGCAGGCTTCACATACCCTCCGTCTCACCACACTCCCACGCTGTCGCCCTCCATGCCGCTGCATTACCTCCCCCACGACCCGCTGCACCAAGAACTGCCATTTGGCGTGGTGAGTCCCCATCCTGGGGTGGGGTTGGGAACACTGTGGGGCTGGCACAGCTCTGAGTGCCCCATGTCTCCCTGCAGCCATACCCCCATATGATGCCCCGGCGGCTGAACACCCAGCGGTACCGGCTGCAACAGGCGCTGCCCCCACCGCCACCCCCTCCGCCGCCTCCTCCCTACTATCCGAGCTTCCTGCCCTATTTCCTGTGAGTACTGGGGGGGATATTCCAGGATGCGTAGGGCAGGGGTGCCACCGTGGATGGGGACCGCAGTGGCGTTGTGTTGGCACAGGGGGAGCCCCCTGTGGGGTGCCAGGGTGGACGTTGGGATTTGCGGCCCCATGCTGACTGCCCTGTCCTTCCCCCCCAGTTCTATGCTTCCTGTGTCGCCAACAGCCGTGGGGCCCACGATCAGCTTAGACCTGGATGTGGATGATGTGGAGATGGAGAATTATGAGGTGCGTCTGCTTGGCTTCCTCAAAGTGATAGGATGGGAGAGCTGGGCATTTGCTGATGGCTGTGCTGGGAGGGAGCAGCCTCCTGGAGGCTGAGGAGCACCCCTGGAGGGATGCTGTGCCAGGGCAGGAGATGAGCTGAGCCGGCCTCTGCATCTCCCTCCAGGCACTGCTGAACTTGGCCGAGCGGCTGGGGGAGGCCAAGCCACGGGGACTCACCAAAGCAGACATCGAGCACCTCCCGTCCTACCGCTTCAACCCCGAGAGCCACCAGTCTGAGCAGACCCTGTGAGTGAGCTTAGGGCGCACGTGGGGGGCCCGACGGAGGTCTGGGGCCGTGGCTGGCAGTGGGGCTGTACTGATGGTTGCTTCCCCCAGGTGCGTTGTGTGCTTCAGCGACTTCGAGGCCCGGCAGCTTCTCCGCGTCCTGCCCTGCAACCACGAGTTCCACGCCAAGTGTGTCGACAAATGGTTAAAGGTACTGCCTGTGCCCGCTGTGGGGAGTGGGGCGGTTCTGGGGATGCTGCGGGTACAGGGTGCTGCCTTCTGGGTGGCCTCAGTGCCCTGCATGCATCGGGAGCTGGGGCCGAGCACTGTGCAGGGCTGGATAAGGCACTCCTGGGATGTGGTTCCAGCCTTGCCAGCGGTGCCGCTCACCTGCCCGGTCTCTCTGCCCGCAGGCAAACCGCACGTGCCCGATCTGCCGGGCGGACGCCTCGGAGGTGCAGCGGGAGGCAGACTGAGGCTGGCGGGCGCTGAGCCGCACAATTCGCTAGAGGACAAGGACGCCGGGCTGGGGCGGGGGCTGCTGCCCGCTGCTAGGGCCTGACCCTGCGCTTACCCCCCCTCCCCAAAGCCTCTCCTCGGATGTGGTGAGCATTGAGCAGTCTGGGCTCCCGGCCAGCCCTCCTCCTCCCCGCCGGGGCACGGACTCAGCCGGACGCCTGCCCGCTGCGCTCCCAGGGCCCCGAATCGTGTTGTGCTGGAGGCGGGAGGTGCGTGGCCATGCCCTCTGCGTTCCAAAGACGCTGTTGTTGCTCCATCACTTTCCAGGTCTTTGTACTCTCCTAGGGAATTAGTGGTTTTTCCCTTTGTCACTATTTTCTTTTTTACGATAGTTTTTTCCCCCTTTTTCCTTTTCATTTCCGTCATGTTTTTGGTTCCTTGGCCGTTTGCCCTAGGGGCACGCAAGCGGCTCCTCCCCTCAGCGTTGCTCTCGGAGGACACGGGGAGGAGAGAGGAAGGAGCACTCTGGGTTTGATGCCGGCAGCACCCCGGCCCCGGGGACAGCCGGAGGAGGTGGCTGGCAGAGTGTGGCCAAGGTGGGACACCAGCAACCCCACAGCGTGGCTGGGGCAGAAAGGCAGGAACACAGGAATGCCTCTGTCCCTGCTCCTGTGCGCAGCCTGGCACGGCCTCTCTCCTGCCTCGGCTGCCCTGGGAGCCCCAGAGGCCTGTGGCTGCTTGGGGTCTTTTGCCAGTGGGAGGATGGTGCTGGCGCAGCCCTGGCCCCTCTCCCTGTTCATTCCCCTGTGCCTGGCCAGCGCAGCTCCCGGGGCCAGGCTCTGTGGCATCCCTCAAGGCAGACAAGCTTGAGGAGGGGACACCAGCCCCGTCCCTAGGGCTTTGGGCATGCGGTGTCCCCGGTGTGCTGCCCGGCCCCCGGCTCATGCTCGTATCTCTGTCCCGACGACGTAAATCAAGGTAGCCCCGTGCCCCGTCCTGCTGGCTGGACGGCGTGGTTTCCCCGGCCGGTGGGCAGCGAGGGGCCGGCTGGGCTGCGGCCCCCAGAGCGGCGGGGGTTTTATTCATAACTTCGTGGAGTATTTTCAGTGCTACCCTGGCCTTGGCCCGGCTGGTGCAGGGGAAGCTGTGAGCGGTCCCCTTGCCACCGTATACCCCGGCCCTTGCAGGCGCTGGGGGAGAAGCCGCCACGCCGCCGCCCGGCTCCATCAATCCCGCGTGGCCGTTGTTTTGCATGATTAATTAGCGAGGAGGTGACGGGAGGCGGTGGCAGGGGTGGTGGTGAGAGCACCGCCCTCCCCTCCTGGCGCGTCGCTGACGCCTGGGAGCTTCCGAGCGGACGCCAGCCCTATGTAAATGTTCACAAATATGCATGCATGTCTGACCAGCTTGGAACGTGGTCTTGGCTACGTCTAGCCGGCTGTGGGGTGAGGGGGGTGGGGAGAGGGGTTTTTGTGCTCAGCTGATACTGCCATGCACTGTACTGCACATGTCCGCAACGCCACAGCAGGACCGTGAGACTTTCAGGGCCGTCCCCGCGGGGTCCGCGCCCGCGGCGGCGGCTGTGCAAGGGACCGGGGCGGGAGGGGCGGCTCCCCGCGGGGCGGGGGGCAGGCGCGGGGCTGGGCCCCGGCCGTGCCTCGGCCGGGTGCGAGGTGAGGGGCCGCGCCTGGCACACGGGGGGCACGGTGGTGTTCCCCACGCCGAGGGCCGGAGGGGCAGTGCCAGCCACCGGTGGGGTGGCGAGCAGCGGGGGGCTTCGGGCCGGCTCCCCCTCGCTGCCCTTTCCGCCCTCTGTGCGGAGCATCGAGGCCAAGGGCCCCGGCCCGGCGCCGCCCGCTTTGCCGTGGCACCGGCACCGCTGGGCTCGGTGCCCCTTGGGCAGGACCCCGGCCCCTTCCCCGTCCCTCACTCAGTGACAGATAACCAAAGGAGTCCCCGGCTTCGCGCCCCCGGAGACGCCCCCTCCTCCCCTCCCGCCCTCGCGGTGCCCAGGGAGCCAGGAAAGCCTTACGGTCCTTTGACGGCGACTCGAAAGCTCACAGCTCGTGTGCTGCAGAATTTATTCCAATGAGCAGCTAAAAGTATCATTTAAAAAAAATAACAAAAAGAAAAAATGACAAAAAAAATACTAAAAAACAATTATTTAGGGTGTTTGTGATTGCTGACTGCGCTGTAGATACCACTGTTTACCAATGAATTCCTGTGGTGGGATAGTGGACTGTTTACTGTTCTATTATACCAGTCCCCGGGCCCTCCGGTGGGACCCCCGCGTTCCCCGCGGCTCCCCGGAAGGTGCTAGGACGTGTGTTCTGTGTTAGAAAGTTTTTATATATATATATATATATATAAATATATATATATAATTTTTTTTGCTCTGTTACTTGCACATTTTACAGTTACCTCATTTTTCCCATGTATGTATTTGAAAAAAGGCTAATATATAGAAAAAAAAGGTTCTTAAAGCTCTAAAAGTGTTTGTTTTTTTCCATTCCATTGGAATCATATTGGTTTTGTAGCATTTAACATAACTAGTATGTTGTATTATATATATGTGTATTATACTGATTGAAATTTTTAACAGATTTGTACTTTTTTTAAAATGAAAGTTGCTAGTTCTGCTTGACCAAGTAGTGCAATCATTATTTTTTTTAATGTTGTGGCTGATTTTGAGAGGGATATTCACTAATAAATGTATGATGTATACCAACACACTGGGCCCAGCTCTTGTCTCCGTGGGGGCGTGAGGGGGGAAGTGTGGGGGCCAGGGATGGGAAGGAGCTGCTGCAGCTGGAAGGGCCCTGGAGAAGAGAGGCTTGGAGGAGAGCCCAGGAGGGCCTCAGGGTGGGAGCAGGGACTGGTTGGAGGCTTTGCCCCAGCAGGATCTGGTTTTGAGCAGCACCACACCCCCCGTCCTTCTCACCTAGCGACCCCTCACAGCTTGCACAGAGAAGGGAAAGTGCCCCGGCTGCTATCCCGGGACAGCAGAGCTCCCTGGGCGGCTCCAGCCACAGCAGTGGGACACCTTCCACCTCTCTTCCATCCCAACCCTCCAGCATTCCCATGCTGGGCCAGGGAAGAGGAAATCCCTGTGCTCCTGCCCATGGCTAGGGGGTGGAGTGAGGTGTGCTTTGCGATTCCTTCCACCCCCAACCATTCCTGGCTCCAGAACAGGTCAGTGCAGGAACAGGCTGCTGGCACTGCCTGTGGGCAGCTGCTGGCACAGCTCCACAGCCTCGGCCGAGCCTCTGCAGGGCCCAGCCTTACACTCACCTCCCACACCTTCTCCACCTGCGCCACGGGCTGACCCAGCCCCACCAGCTCCTGCTCTCCCCGAGCCCAGCGCTGGTGCCGCAGGAGGCGGCACAGCAGCAGCAGCAGCCCCAGCCCTGCCATCCCCCGTGCTGGGCACGGCCTCCTCTCACACAACAGCTCCAGTGGCACCAAATCACCATGGGAGAGCAGAAGCTGAGTGCACCCACACTTCTGGGAGCCACAAGTCCCAGAGCAGCTCACCCCCTCCGGGGGGCACGGGCAGAAAGCATCAGCACAGACATGCTAGAGGCAGAGTTTATTACACTACGCAGGCTAAGAACCCTGGGCAAGGCCCCACATGGGTAAGAATCGAACCAGCTCTTTATCAAAAAGTTAATACTATAGTCAACCCCAATCTCCTTTGGTCATTACAAAGCAAGAGAAATATTAAAAGAACAGTATTTATACACAGAGGGAAGCTGAAGAGAGTCTGTCCAGCCCTTTCCCCCCACCCCAATCCCAGCACGTTCCGGTGCTCGGTCTTGTGTCTCTCAGGAGCAGCAGAGTATCAAATCTTCACGAGATGTTGGGTTGCTGGGGTTTTATTATTATTGTCATCAATAAAAGCAATAATTACCAAGAGCTGCCATTCCTGTTCCTCCCCAGGGAGGGCAGAGGGGCAACACCAGCTCCCCCTGCGTGCCCCCCGGTGCAGGGGATGGCCGTGCGCACGCGTCCTCTCGCCAGCGCACACACGCAGCACAGCTGGCACAGGCCATGTGGTCTCTGATCCCTCGTTTGTACGCAGTCTTTTAAAAAAAATATTGTATTATAATAATAATATGAATTTCTCTTTCCGTTTTGTGTCTTCTGGAAAAAAAAAAAAAAAAAACGAAACAACAAAACCAACAAAAACAAAACCAAAAAGAAGTGTCAATCGTCCGTGAGGTCCTGCACAAAGAGGACTTCCGTGTGGCTGAGTCCGGCCTCCTGCAGCGTGGGGGGGTTGGGCCACTCCTCTGTAGGGAGGCAGGGCAGGACACGGCGAGGGAAATTGGCCTCAATCTGGAACTTCTCAGGGCTTTCTTTCAAGGAGAACAGGAAGTCGTGGATCACCTGGAAAAGAAGCACAGAAATAACTGCCAGCTGGGGGAGCAGTGACACAGCCAGAGCAAATCCCTGGCACGTCGCGGGGAAGGCTCCCAAATTTGCACCATCACTGCACTGTAGAGCCGAGACAGCCATTTCCTTGGAACACATGAACCCGGGCTTGGCGCAGAGCACTGAGGAGAACAGACACTGTTTCTGACTCTTCCTACACCTTTAGTTCATAGGTAGCAGTGGAATTATAATAGAATATATATATTTGATATAATTATAGAATGTTCAGGGTTAGAAGGGACTTTTAAAGATCATCTAGTCCCACTCTGCCCTGTCATGGGCAGAGACAACTTCCAGCTTTTCAGGAAGCAAAGGAAGCTTCTTCCATTTTCTCTCCTCTTCCAAGCTGGTGGAACCAGGCCCCACAGCACTCTCCTTACCAAGGAGCAGCTCTGCCTGCCAAGGCTCTCAGCAAAGGTCACCATTTGGCAAGTCCAAGTGGAAAAAGCTTTGCTGAGCCACCTGCAAGTCTCCTCACCCCCTTGCCCTGGAAGGCCCCTGAGCTCTGCCCCAAGCTCACCGTCAGTGACTGTGTGAAGTGGAATCGCCGCTCCACTCTGGAATCGTTAGGCAGCTTGAAAATGATCTTGACGCTCTCTGGGTCGTCAGGATGTGGTTCTGGAGGAAGGCATTCCGACTTCCTCTCCTTCTCCTCCTGCAGGGTCTGCAAGGCAAGGAGGGAGCAGGAGCAATGGCTGTGCACTCAGCTGAGTTCCCTTTGGCCTGTCCTCTGCAGCACAGCTGCTCCGGGAGCCTCGGAGGATGCTCAAGCCCCATGCAAGACCAGCAATTCCTACTGCAGGCCAGGACACTGCAGCCCCTCCTGCAATCCCTCTGCTCTCACCTGTCGCCGCCTCTCCTCTGCCAGTTTTTGCTGCTGCACTTCCTCCTCCTTCTTCTTCTTCCTCTCCCTTTCCTCCTTCTTCTTGCGCTCCTTTTCCTGGTCCGCACGCAAGGATGCCAGATACGCCTCGTCCTGCTGCTGCCTCAGGACTTGGGTTTGGTTCCTCTCTTCCCTGCAACACGAGTGGAAGTGGTCAGGGCTGACAGGCCCTAAGGTGAGGGGATGGCAGGCTGAGGGCAGACCCAAGGGTGCAGGGTACCACAAGCTCCCAAAAGGCCAAGCCAGGTCCCCACAGTCCCTCACAATCAAACTGCTTTGCATGGGTGGGTAGAACTGAACTTAAAAGGCTTCTGAACCCCTGTAGCTTGACAGAGCTGACAGACAGCACATGAACAGTGCCCAGGATTCCTGCCTCATACTTGAGACTCTTCCTGGTTTCGTCTCCTTCAGGTAACTCCTTGCACATTTCATACACTGGAACGTGTTACTGGGTCCTCACACAGAGTGTGGCGCACAGGAGGGACAGACAAAAAGTTAAATTGTAGGATCCTGTTTTGGATGCAACCTGTACATCCCTAAGAGTCACCAGGGACTTGTGAGGCCCCACCAGAAAAGCAGCCAGAACTCAACACAGCCAGTCCAGGCAGCAGCACACAGGCACCAGCTGGCTGTGGACACCAGCTCTCCTCCCTGCAATGCCTTTGCTCCCATTTGGATCCTACTGGCTATTGCTCAAGTTCTCCCTGCAGAGCTCCAGCATGCCAAAGGTGTGCTCCAATTGCAGAGAACAGAGTACTCACATCCACCTTTCAGTGGTGGCATTGTGTGTGCAACACATCTGTCTCCCTGGCTAGAAGATGGCCTGAATGTATGGACTGATGATCCCCCTGGTGAGAGGAGAGCCCGTGGGCTGTGTCACAGAACCAGAGGGGCTGAGCTATGTGCCTACACACGGTATCTGGAGGGAGGCAGGGGACAGAGCAGAGCCTGCCTCAACACGGTGTGTGTTACTGGAGCTCTGGTCCCACCCTACCTCTCCAGGCGCTCGGACACCAGGTATGTCTGGTTGGCGTCCATGATGAACATCAGCTGGTTGATGAGGTCATCAGCCTGGATGAGCCCTTCCAGCCGCCCGACCACCGTCATCCTGCGGTCCTTGAGCATGATCACGGCCAGGAACGGGTACGTGTTCTCCCGCAGGGCCTGCGACACTGCAACAGGCACAGATGTCACCACCCCGTCCACAGGGGCCACCAAGGGTACAGCACAAACGTTCCCCATCACTAAAGGCCAAGGAAAGCACCTTCCCCAGACATTCTCTCTTCCAAGGCAAAAAAGGCCTCAGGCTCCATTTTGAAAATTAAATCCTGTAAGTTAGCAAAGGGAGGAAATGGCTTTGGGAGCACAAAGACTGATGGGAAAAAAACAAGCTTTCAAGTAACCAAAAGAGGCTCTTTTAACTCAAGCAGGAAGGAAGTAAATGCCTCTGAATGTCCATTCAAAATGGGACAAAGCCATGGGTTTAAACTGCAGGAAGAGAAACACAGGACAAACACATGGAAACACTTGCTCAGGTGATTGGAGATGGTTGGACTCGGAAGAAACTGTCATGGGGGAGATGGCAGTATGCCCACATTGAATATTTCTGAAGAAATTTAGGTTGGCTTTGCTGGAGACAGGCTCTGTCTGAAGCAGGGAATGGAAGAGATGATGTGCTTAAGTTACTGTTCATGTATGGCTGTTGATCCCCTCCTTAAAACACATGGTACATCATGCAACTTGGAGCCTCTGTAGCCAGTGGAGCCCCCCAAACAAAATCAGAGCAGCTCAGGGATTAAATGGAAGGCCACGACCCCTTCCAGCTCTGCTTCCCAGGCTGTGACTCCAAAGCACTGCAGCAACGAAATAGGAATAAACCAAAGACTGTCTCCTCAGAGAGCTGTTCTCTCAAGTTGTTGATAATTGCGAGCAGAACTGTGGAGCCAAGAGTGACCCAAATGCAGCATTTTCCTGACCATGAAACAGAAATGGTGGAAACAACACAGGAGCCACGAACAGAACTTTGGGAAAAGGCTCCACTTGCAGCAAATTCTTACCAAACTGCTGTCTGGCCAGGTATGAACAGCTCTCAAACACTGTGGGCTTTTGAGGAGACACAGAGATTGGGTGTGGATTAAGGTGACTGTCTCAGAAAGGGAAAGAATGCACCTAACAAGTCCTTCCTGGCCTCAGGCATCACAGGAGCCAGTGTTAAGGACAGATCTAGTTGGATACTTGTTTCTCCACTCAATTTATCCCCAGGACACTCCCACAAACTCCCACTGCCAAAGCACTGAAAACATCCTAAATGCCCACAGCATTGAGCACAGAATTACAACTGCCCAGAAACACACAGAATGATGGAGGTGAAGATCAGAATGTATTTCCTTGGCATCCAAACCTTTTGAGATCTCCCAGGAAACCACATATATTTCCCCATACAATCCTGAAATCTGTTGTATTTTGTGCAAGTAAACAAGAGAAGTGTTTCACTTGTGCAAATTTGTCAAGTAGCATCTGCTTTGTTCCAGAGACAGGAGGGGACAGGTAAAGCCCAGAACAGACACACTCACCTCTGTATCCCTCTGGTTTATTGGTTGAGCAAGCCCAGAAAAGCATTCTAGTGTTGATGAGGGTGATGACCTCAGGTGCACACAGTGTATTGCTGGGGGATGAGAAGAAACCATGTGAGGGACGCTGCATTTCAAGTGCAAAGACAACTATTTGGGAAATTCTCCTACCTACCGGCAGAACTCATCTGTGTCTTGGTGGTCATCTCCATGAAGATAAACCAACAGGAAGCGCAGCTCCCGCTTGGCATCGTTCAGTGCCTTGGCATAAGAGCAGAGAAGGTAAAGTTACTTGGTCTCTGGGCAAGGGGAATGCAGCACCCACAAGGCTTGTGTGACCCAGGCCATTACTCTGCACTAGAGTGGCTTTAGTGAAGCAGCAGCGGAGGATGAACCTGTCAGACCTTCTAAACAAGCCTTTATGTAAGAGGGCTACAGTGGTGTTCCCTCATAGCCTCTCGGGATGTGGCTTTGGGGAACATGGAACTCAGAGGGAAACTGGGCAGGCAATGACATGGGCTGACACTTCAGCTGCTTCACCAGACTCAGCTAGCAGTGAAGAACCTCCTTCAGCCCTTGGACTCACAGTGGCCAAGGCTGAGCTTTCCCTTGAGCCTGCACAGGACACAATCTTCAGATCACACCAAATGAAAATTCTATTAAAACAGGTAATAAATAATGCTGCAGGCCCCCCAAAAAACAGACAACAAAGAATCACTCCCTTTGCACATCTGTAGTGTCTGGATTCCATCCACCCAAGAGTTTTTTTAACAAGACCACAGGATAAGTGCACAATATGCTTCCTGTTTTACTGGCACTGAGATTTGGTAGCCTAACCATCCCACAATTACTTGAGTCTGGATTCCAGGAACGACAGAGGAGCCTCAAAGAGCTGCAGAGGCGGCGAGCTCCATCACTGTGCAGTGTGGAGCACACAGGCACTGACACTTTTTCCCCAGGCACTTGGGAAGCAGTGCTGATCCAGCTGTCTGATGGGATGCCCTGCAGGAGACCCTTCCCTTGGCCAGGCTGAGAGAAGCTGTGCAAAAGGCAGTGTCCATGGGGATATTCCTCTTCTACAGAGAGCCCCCTCAGATGTGATATATGGAACACTCGCCTCAGTTTCTCAGGGGCTCCCTCTCAATTTTGAGGCCCTGAAGTTACATTGTGATACAAGCCCAGGCAGTTAATCCCAATTTGGTGAACAGAGGGACAGACTCTGGCACAGCACACCAGTTTATAAAAACAAAGGCAGGATTGCAAAGAAAAGCTGTCGGCTACAGAGTCACACAGACGGTCGAGGAACAGCCAGAGTAGCTTTGCTTTCCAACTTTGCAGGCTTGGCAAATCATCAAGCCTGGCAGACACTGGTTTCCCAATACACTTGTTCACTAGCTCTCCATTACCCCGTTAAGAAAGTTTGGGGATAAATTCTGGGCTTGTAGATGAAAAGCAATTTTGCCGTGATACCATGTGGCAAAATCACCACTCCCCAGGATCTAGGCACCAACACATGACACTGACCTGGCTGTAAGTTCCCTGGTAGAAGACAGGGTGTATCCTCCCATATTTTTCCTCAAACATATGAATAAACGAAATAATGTCACCCACTGGGTCGGTGACCCGACTACGAGGATCAGGGCGTATAAAACGCAGAGCAAACCTAGGAAGGAAGCAAAGGACACTGGAAATTCAGCTCACTGACTTCCTGAGGCACAGGTTTTCTTTTCTACAGATAGTCACTATGATTCATAAAAAGAGGAAAAAAGTCATAGCTGAGACCCTTGAACATTTATAATCCGCTCCAAACTGATACCACTGCTGCAGAACCGAGCCCCAGTGAAGATTCATCTCATGCCAGGGATCAGTAAGGATCCAAATTCTGTGTGATTAAACAGTTTCAGCTTCCTCTGAAGCATCAAGCATAAGCCACACCAACAGTAGGAGGTTTGAAGAATTTAGTCAAAGATGGGCTGTTAAAAGCCCCACAGTTTTGTCCAGATAACTTTGAAAACTGCATTTCTGCTAATCCAGAACTAACAATTCCAATGTACAAAGAGTTTCAGAAAGAGAACATTACACTATGACTCCTGTGAAACTGTCATTCCTCTGAAGCTGAAAAAGCTTCACTGCAAGGCAGATATCAGTGTTGTTTAGTTCTACTAATGCACAGAAGATACACTGAACTTTGGAAATGTCTTTAATGGGCAAAAAAAGGTAATACAAAAAGGAAAAGTGCCAAACCAGGGCGGGTGGCAGGACTGCTGGCTATTTACCACCACCACCATTCCCTTTTCCCTCTATCAGTGCTGTAAAGGAGACAAGGAGAATTAGTGCTGTGGGGCAGTAAAGGGAGAAGAGTCAATAGACACCAAAGAGAATAAAGCAGAGGTGGTTACAGTTTGGGTTTTGCCAAATAACATCCAGCAATTAGGGTAGGTTAACCTGTGGCCCACTCCAATGGGACATTATTCTGATGTTTGTCCAAGAATACCAAACAGCTGGACACTGCTTTGCAGCCCCTTTGTGTGGCACTCAGACTGTAAAGCTGAGTGGAGCTAGAGATCAAATTGAACACTTCATTTACAGAGCTGCAAGGTGCTCTTTTTCTCTGCAACAAGATTTATTTCTTACTAAATAGAATAGGAACTTTACAAGGCTACAGATAATACCAGTTAAGCAAACAAATGGAAAATCTGCCATGTGGCTTAAAGATCTAAGTGACAGAGATCCAGCCAAATCCCAGCTAGTGTGTTCCCTGATGCAGTCAATAAGTGAGTCAGCACAAACAAGGACTTACCTAAATATATCAAGTAACGTGTAATAGGTAAATCGGAATGGAAGCATTATGAAGTAGTAACCCCATCCTAACAGCCCCTGCAATTACAAATACAGAATTAATTTTCTTAACTATACAAAAAGACTAACAGCATCAATTACAGGTGCTTGTTCAAATTTGTTTGTAAAACATTAATGAATGTAATTGATACTGTGTTCTAGTTAATACACATTTAAGGGGGGCTCTAAAAAGAAAAACATTATCACTGCCACATGGAGGGGACAGTTCTTTGTTCCAATTCAACTGAGCAAAAGGTTTTACTACACCACAGCAAGACAGGCTACGACAAAAAAAAAGTCCTCATACTGTGAATCACAGCATGGAGAAAATCTCCACAGCAGTAACAGAAACTGAAGGAATAGGTCTACATTTTGTTTTTGTAAGATAAAATATTTAGAAAGGAGATAACAGCATACAAAGAAAACACTTTCTTTCCCTGCTTGCAAGTTCAGTATTCATAGAGAGTCAGGCAAGAAGCAGGACAAAATCCACTGTAAGATAACTTGCCCTTGGCTGTGGCCTTGAGACAACGTAGCTGTAGATCCTGTGGTCAGCTGTATTGACCTGCAACGGCCGCAGTGGAGGAGGATTAAAGACACTTGGGACACCCTCTTGCTCGTTCAGTCGGTCCTGCACAGCTGCCTTTGACATAAGAAAGAGCAAAGGGAGGTTTCAGGCATCTTATGGTTTTTATACTTGGGACAGTGACAGTGGGTATTACTTGTCCACAGCCCCAGGGCACTGGATGAGCACAACTCCTGACAAGCAGCAACCACCAGTGCTCTTTTCCATGGAAAGCCTTCTCCATGGCAGCCAGCACACAGGCTCCATGGGAGGCCACATGGTGTGCCAGTCAAGGGTTTGTTCAGAGCCATAATGACTCTGCTGTGTTTGGTTTGAGAGGTGTGGAGATACAGCTCTAAAGAGCTACTTGGGTATATCCAGGGTGGGGACAGATTAATCTTACTGGTAGGGACCCCCTTCCCACAGAGGGCTGCATTTAACCCAGGTACTTGGAAACTGCTACAAGCATTTTCAGTGGTACCTCTATGTTCCAGTTGTGCTGCTCCAGTGTGTGGCGACATTGGTCCATGGACTCTATGCCAGTCAAGTCCTAAAGAAGGAGAATAAAAGCAGATGAGTGCCAGGAAGGGCTGCATTTTGACTGCTCTTAATGCAGGAACACAAATGGGAGTTACCAGAGCACATTATCACAACGCTCATTTTTTAAGTGCCCAGCTCTGAGATTAGGAACAGAATGACCCAAGGCCTCAAACAGGCCTTTGCACCCTGCCAGCACCAGCCAACTCCCAGCGTGCCCAAGGTCTGTCACTACAACAGCACTCAGCACAGTCAAGAGTTTAACACAATACTGCCCACAGGCTTCACTCTGAAAAGATGCGCCAGGCCAATGACCTCAAACATCATCTTGAACTCAAAATACAGACAAAGCATTTCTGAAAACTCAAGATGACTGTTACTCCACTCACTGCCAGCATAAACAGAAACTAAAACCACAATAAGCCAGGCATTACTGAAGGTGATGTTCCCAGCACCACAGAGGAAGTAAAAAAAGTATAATAAACACTGTAGTAAAAAAAGCAGGAACAGTCCAACACAGGCCTGAAATAGAAAACAGTCCAAACACACTGGCGAACCTCAAAGCCACTGGGCATATTTTAGCCCTGTGCCAATCAGAATTTCTGCACAGGAGATCAAACAATCATGTCTGTTTTTACAGGAAGCTACATGACTACCTCCTGAGCAGAGACAAACGTTTGCTGAAGGGAACACCCCTGTCACTATGTGACAGAAACATCTCTCCCCATTGCACTTGCTTTAAGGTCTGAGCAGATGTATTCCTTGCTTCCTTGAAAAGCCCCTGACACACTCCTGACAGGCTGACCAGTTAAGAATGCACTGAATTGTTTTTTTTACTGGAGAAGGATGGTGCATCTATTCCCCTCCCTGCCCCCATTCATACATTCCACATGCCATTTCCACCCGAGTAACAAACACTGTGGACAAATGCCCTATTCAGTCTCTGGGCTCAGTTCAAACTTTTCAGCATTTCTTGGCTTCTTTCTCATTAAGTCTCCAGATCATCACCTTCTCTCCAATCTACTGGGCAAAACCCATTTTCTTTCTTCTGCACAGAACCAATCAGACTGTTTAAAGCATTGTGACTGTAGAACTTCAGGAAAAAAAAGCACTTCAAGTCGCTGTTCAGTGGTGTATAAATATTTATTAAAAAGTAAGTCTGCCGCAAGCCTCGCAAGGGAATACTGCAGAATTGGATTTCATAGAAAAAAATAAAGCTCAGTGAACTCAGCTGTTGCTGCTAGAATATCTTTAATTATCACTCAGTTTCATAATTTAATGTTTAAGTTTAGCTATCTTTCTTTAAAATGTGCTTCACAGAGTAAAATTTAGGGTTTGTAGTCTGAATTGATTTTTTATTTATTTTTTATTCCATTTATTTTGCTTTCTGAACCTGATTTTTTTTTCAACCTGAATTCCTACAGCAGGCACTTAATTGTCTTTTTATAAAGGACACCATTAAAGGCACCTGCAATCTACTCAATTAATTGATTTTACAGTGGAGTCACAATGTGTTTATTCCAGAGCCCTGAAAATCTTCTGATCACCACTCCTCAATACCCTTGAAATTCTGCTGGTGTTTACAAAGTTTACAAGATTCAGAAACTTATTTACACCTTTGTCTATAAATGCCTGGATTATCTGTGAGCACTAAGAGTATTCCCTCCTTCTTAAATTATGCAAAATTCTTCTGCAGTTTTAGGTCAGAAAGCAGCAGAGCTATCAACAAGCATTTAATGAGCACTGAATCACTGCAGCATTTGCAAGACCCGAGTTCCACAAAGACACCAGAGACAGCCAATTTCACCCCTCCTGACTACCACCCCAGTGACAGGCAGCTCCAGTCACTTCTCAGCCTTCTACATGAGCTCTCCAGGGAGGTAAATTTGCTTTTATTTCTTTTTCCTCAGCATCCTAATTCAGCTGCTCTCAACTCAAACCAGAAGTGACAAAGCCACTCCAAGCAGCACAGTGCCAAGCGGTCCCACCACTTGTCTGATCAATGAGGCTTCACGATTAAACATTGCAGAAAAAGCTGCCTGGCAAAGGCAGCTTTTAACACTCAACACCTTGCTGGCTGTTAGTCTGGTGTGCTCCACTGGATACACCACAGCTCCACCACGTTCTGCAGACAAACCAGGCTTCAGAATGTCCCACGCCCGATGTAAGGAATGGCAGGACCACAGTTCAACCGCCACTCCAGACAACTCTTGCTGGCAAACACTGATACTGGTCATTATCACCCTCATGACATTCCTATGGCCCCTGCTTCACCAAGTCATGGAACAGATCAGAAACTTGAAACTCCACATTATTTCCACTGCCTCAGCATCTCTTACACACATGGCACACCAGCACATTCTTAGCACCATCAGGGCTAAGAGAATAACCAGCATCTTCAACTGTTGCTGTTCTGATCCCTTATCAGCTGCCTTTAAGAGCATGGATCTTACAGAAAGAAGTAGTCAAAATTAGTCCAGCACTCTCAAACCTTCAAATAAATCCAAGCTCAACATAGCGGCCAGTATTTCAAAAAACAAAATATTAAATTCCACAAATGCCAGAAAAGTTCAATAGTGGCTTCTCAACCACAAAGAAAGAGTGTTATTGTAAAGCATAAGGAAGCTTTTGCTGGAGGTAATTATTAGTATTTCTCACCTTTGAGACTGCTCAGAATCCTCTCAATACTGAAGTAGTGGAAAGTACAATTTCATGCTTCAAAAGGAGAAGGAATACCCCTGAGTGGACAAAGGTTGTAAAGTGGACTTACGAAACCGTTGCCTCTACAGATATGCTCCGATGTTGAAACACGGCACAGGAGATGCAAATCCACAGGACTAACTGGCACTGCTCTTACTTCCCAACCCACTGCCAAATTCCAGAGAATTACTTTCCAAGGGTAAAGAACATCTGAGTTCTAACTGGAAAAATGCCTTAACCAAGAGTTTCTCATTGCATATTACAGCAAATGCCTTTCTGAGGGTTTTGATGGATACACTGAGTGGGAAAGCTGCCTGGAATTTCATGTTTCCTCCTTCCCCTAAATCAGTCACATCCAGCCTTGAGCATTCTGTTTTCCCCATCTGAAATCAGAGATTATATGAGTGCCAACTCTCTTGCAAATAACACTCCATTACATTACATTAGCATATTACAATATCAGACATCAGCCCAAGTGTAATGGGCACAGATCAATATCCAGATCCTACAAAAGCTGCTCTGCTGTTTCTTCCATCTCCCAAATGAATCACATCTCCACAGCTTTCCTAAACTGTTGACGGCAAACTTCTCTCTCCAAATGTCAGGACAGTGGGGTCTTGACAGATGAAAAATTTAGATGCTTTTATTCTCTTACATTATTAGCCAGTTCTCTGGCAGTAAATGAGAGGCTGAAAGCACACAAGAGGCTTTGTTGCTTTCATTTCAAGTTTATCCCAGTTCTCTCTACTGACTTTTTTTCCTTTACTAACCTGCCCCAGCATGGTGCAGAGAGCTGCTCCGTTCCAGCCCTGCCCACAAGAAGGAAGCTGCTGGTTTCAGCATTCTGCCAGCAAAGCTGTTTGTATGAGCACTACAGAACCCACCAAACATCAGTGGGATTAATGCAGAGAGGACACGAACACAGCCCTGTGCCAGGACAGGACAGCACACTCACCTCTGCCTGGAAAGGTGCACTCTCCAGCAGAAGTGTAGCAGTTTATGGCAACAGCATCTTCACCCCAACCAGCTTTTTGCTAGGTGAACAGCAGTCCTTGCTCAGTGCTTCCCTTCCTTTGGCTCTCTATTTCACTGAGGGCTTTCTACAATTCCTTACCTCATCCTGGTCATCCTGCCTTCTTTCCTGGTCTGCTCTGCTGCTCTGTTCACAGTGCAGTGGGATACAACCTTCTGTGGAAGTGCCATGCTCTGTCACCATGGAATGCTGTACAGCCTACTTATGATGGCACATCACAAAGTGTGAAATTATCCTTAAAAACAATGAAGTGTTCCCTGCAAACTCAGCAGGGATCCCTGAAGGCTTTCCAAGCTGACTTGTAGCAATGTACAAATTATTTTAATGACACTTACCTAATCTCTTCAAACACCTCATTTTTCCTATTGGAGTCTGAGAAAAAAATCTCTTCCAAGTGGACTGATTGACTTTTGAGGAAGCAGCAGGACTCACACCCGAGCCCTTCTCAGCTAGATGTGACATATCAGAGGAGAAGGAATCACCAGTGGGGTCTGTCATTAGCCCTGGAGAAAGCTGATCCAACACACCCCAGGAGGCAGAAGAGGGAGGATCCTGGCTGGTATCCAAGCCTTCTGGACCACAGCTTTCACATCTGGCTCTGCACAGCAGTGGTCTAACTGAAAAAATTTATCCCCTTTACAGCCTGAGGAGTGTTTCCCTGTGCCTCAAACCAGAGCTTGACAGGAAGCTGGACTAAAGCATGAATCCCTCCTGGTTCCCTGGCAGCCCTCTGTCCATGGCAACACCAGGAAACAGGATTATTTCACTTCACAGCTACCCACAGGGGTTTGAAAACAGCAGCAGAGGCAGCAGTGAGAGCAGCTGGTCCTACCTGGCCAGAGCAAGCAGATGAGCAAGAACCAGGATATCTCCCAGCAAGAGAATGGGACATTTATATGTGCAAAACCCTCACCTACTCACCAGGCAGCACAGGGACAGCAAAGGCTAGCACTGCTCTGTGCCTTTAGTCTGTGTTTAATCTGTCTGCCCAAACAGCTCCACCTGCAGTAGACTTAGAGGGGACACCTGCAAAGGAAATTTCCTCACAGGTCCAGTCACGGGAGGACACCTCAGCACAGTGATTGAGTCAGGGGGCTGTGAATCAGGGGAAGGCTTGGGAAGCCAACGTGTGGAATGATGAACACCTGCACTGTCTCACCTGGGGAAGGCAGGGCCAGATGCCTCTGGAGTCCATTTAAATCTACACTTACACCAAACTTCCAATGTACATTCTTCAAAAAAGTAATGTAAAGCGACAAAAGCAGACAACGCACTCTTAAAAGTAATCATGGTATTTGTAAAAGAACTGCAATCCAAGGGATGCCACATGACGTCCTACAGCTCAGAAACAAACTCAAGACACCTGAAGGTAATTTTCATTGCTCAGCACATTTAGTTACTCATCACTGAGCAACCCTAAGAATTTCAGCTGCCCAGCACTGTTTTCTCCCCAAGAAACCACATCTTCAGCCTGTGTTTGTGATCATTCATCTGCCACACAGCCCCAGGCTTCGCAAACCAAAGGTTAAGCGACCTTGCCTGTGTTGTGTAGCAGACACAGATTAGATCACTACAGTCTCCAGCGGCGTTACCCAATCGTGAGGGGCAGGGACTATGTGCCACAGCAACCCACTGGATAACTCTCCCGCGGTGCCAGGAAAGGCTCTCCAGCTACGACAAGGAAAATTTTCAGGCTAATTAAAATGGCCGGAATTTACCAAGGAGTTTCTCCTGCAAGGAGTTTACTGAGCAGCCTCCCCAGTTAGCGATGACAGAACATCGCCCCGACAAAGCCTTATGGGCACGGAAATCTCACTCACCCCGGCCAGGACTAGGACCACAGCTGTCTCTCCTCTCACTGCCCCCTCATGCCCAGCTCGACACCCCGCTCCAGGACGGGCCCATCCAGCTCTGTGAGCCCCGTACCCCCCAGCGCCGGCGGGGCGGGCCCAGCTCAGCCCATTCCGTGTCCATGCACCGCCTCCCCCGCTCCCGCCGGCCAGCACGGCCCCCCGGGCCGTGGCACCTGGAACTGCAGCAGCTTCTCGGTCTGTTCCGCCGTCAGCTCCCGTTCCTCAGGCGCCGCCATTTTGCTGCCGCCTCTGACCCGCCGCTCCGTCACTCTCCGGAAGTGACGTCGCCCGCGCCCACTTCCAGCCCAGCGCCGCGGCCAATCGCTGTTTATCGGCCGCCGCCGGAACCGCTCGGCCGCATTCCGGACTGACCCGAAGCGCTCTGGGGCCTGTCCGGAGATGCCCGAATCCCATCGGCAGCGGTGGCCGCTCTCGGGTGTTCCCGGCGGGCACACGCAAAGTTCCGAAGTGTGCCGAGCACTGCTCGGGTGTTCCCGGCGGGCACACGTAAAGTTCCGAAGTGCGCCGAGCACCGCTCGGGTGTTCCCGCGGACACACGAGGGGTTCCGAAGCGTGCCAAGGGCTGCTCGGGTGTTCCCGGAACAGGCCGGGGATGAGCGGGCCTGAGCCCAAGGAGGGGGGGGGGGATATGAGCCGAAGACCCCCGGGGAACTGGCTGTGTTCCCGTCACCGCGGGGGCTGCCGTTCACCGAGTGGGTCCTGCCCGGGCACCTGCGGTCCCGTCGGGTGTGTCCTGCCCGCTACCTCCGGTCCCGCCGGGACGGTCCTGCCCGGCACCCCTCGTTCCGCTGGGCCGCCCGTGCGCCCGGCCCAAGATGGCGGCGGCCGCTAAGATGGAGGAGGCGGTGAGGGGTCCCCGCTCCCACCCGCAGCTACGAGCGCCCGCCTGAGGGGTCGGCGCGGCCAAACCGCGGCCAGTCGAGCCCCGGGGGAGGCAGGCGGGCAGCACCGGCTCCCCGTGCCCGCTGCGGCTGGCGGGAGGCGGGGCGCGCCCGCGGGCCCGCCCCGGCGTGATGTCAGCGCGGCCGCCCCGCCCGCCGCCGCAGTGACAGCGGCAGCTCCGCCCGGGCGCAGTCGGGCCCAGCCCAGCCGAGCCGCGCAGCCGGACCGGGAGCGGCGCGGGCGGGCCGGTCATGGCCGACGACTTCGGCTTCTTTTCCTCATCTGAGGGCGCTGGCGCCGAGGAGGACCCGGCCGCCGCTTTTCTGGCCCAGCAGGAGAGCGAGATCGCGGGCATCGAGAACGATGAGGGCTTCGGGCCGACCGACGGCGAGGCGGCCGCCGCCCCGGGCGGGCAGGCGGCCCCGCCGGAACAGGGTGAGCACGCCCGCGGGCCGCCCGGCTGCGCTCCCGCTGGCTGCGGGCGGGCTCTGGCCCTGGGGGGTAACGCAGGGCTGTGCCCCCTTCTGCCCCGAGGGCAGGGAAGGGTCCTCCGGGCCGCATCCACGCGGGGCTGGGGTCCCCGGGGGATGCAGAGCATCCCCGGTGGGTGATGGGGTCTGTCCTGCCCCTCATGGGCCGGTGGCGGGGTGATCCTGTGGGCCAGGTTGGCATCCTAGCAAGGGTTGTCTGGGCCTGTGCTTGAGCCCGAAGGGCTTCTCGAACCTCGGGGATGTGGGGTGAATCCTGAGCTGGGATGTGCCAGCCATGGGGCGGTTTCTCCCCCTTGTACTGGGTTTCCCGTGTTGGATGGACTCCCGACTCCATGTTTCAGTGCTCCTAGCTATGGCAGTGTAAAAGGCATCCAGGCGGCACAGAGAAGCAATGACAGCCTTGTCACTGTCCCCACAGACAGGAGAGCCCTTTGGGATGCAAAATGGAAGACATTGCCATTGGGAACATTGTGGTCCCAGGCCCTGCAGGTAGAATGTGCTAATTCTGCTCTCTTGTCTTCAGTCTGCAGGGGCTTTGGCATCTGCTCTCTGTATGGACATGGGGGCACTGTTGCCACAGGGCTCTGACTCCTTTCCTAACCCAGCCCCTCAGGGTCTCCTCATGCTGTCTGTGGAGC